CCCAGCTCGCTGACGCAGGCGTAGGCCGAGGCCGACTGCAGGAAGAGCTGGGCCAGGCAGACCTCCTCGCTGCGGAACATGGAGCCCATGGTGCTGCCGGGGGAAGGGGAGAGTCAGTCACCTGGCGGCGAGGGCAAGGGGCACAGAGACCCAGCCCCCCCCCGCTCCCCTCAGATCAAGACCGTGGGGGACTGGTGCGAGGGGCACCAGAAGCCACGCTGTAGCAGGCAGCCCAGGCGTGGAGACCGACTCCTCGCCTGGCAGGGAGGAGAGGAAGCGGTCTGTGCCGGGGGCAGGAGCTGGAGCCGGCAGAGACAGGTGGCACGGCCACGGCACTCCCAGCAGCTCTGGAGAAGGAGTGGACACGGCCAGGAGCCCCCGCTCCAGCTGGGGGGAGGCAATTGTGGCTCAGACTCCAGCTCCCCGACAACCCGGCCCGGCACCCAGACAGTCACACTGAGCTCCAGCCATCTATCCAGCCGACACCTCGGCAGCCCTACCGGCCCGCCGCTCACCTCAGGGACGGCCTTGCAGCTGCGGGGGGCCACGCGGCGTAAGGGACCCAGGCAGGGAACAAGGATCCGCAGCTCTGCCCACGAGACACCCAGCAGCAGCTCGGCTGAGTCACCCTGGACTTTTTTAACCTCGGAGGTTGCAAAATAGTTTCCAGGAGCACCATCCCCCTCCGCCCCAGACCAGCTCAGCTTCAGCCGCGCCTGAGTCAGGGCTGGCCGTGCCGCTCACCTTTGGGGCTGACCTAGCCAGACGCCCATGGCCCAACAAGGGGTGGGGAAGGGCACATGATGCCCTTGCCGCCAGGCAAGCGATTTCGGGAGAGGAGGATCAAATGAGAGCCCTAAGAGATCCGGAGCACCCTCCACGCCCCTTTGCAACTGGAGGGCAGCCGGGGCCCTGCAGCGCTCTTAGGGCAGGGGGAGGAGGGGATCCAGACCTCAGGCTGGACCCAGCTCACTGCAATAGGGCCATGCCAACACTCCAGCTGAAAGCAGGGAAACACAAGCGGCCTCGGGGAGGGAGTCCCAGTCCCTGCACAGGGTCCTGGCCACACCGGGGTCAAGCAGCCATCCTGGCGCTGAACCACCCCCAGCCCACCTTGAGGCATCACCCGCTACTGATTGCTGCAAACAGGACTCCAGTGGGATCCCCAGCCCAGGGGACACGGCTGCGCTGGGGCAGAAAGGCCCGTGTTTCTGAAGCTGCCACCAGTCTTGGGGGCCCAGCCGGAGGCGTTCAGGCTGGCTCTCCCTGCCAGGTCCCCCATGCGGGACTCGGCCCCTGGGCTAGCCCGCGCCACTCCCACGCAGGGAGGCCCTCTCCTCTCTCCTTCTGCCTCCATGGGGCAGCCAGCCCAGCGGCAGCCAGCTCCCCCAGCCTCACAGACAGGTAGGCAGCGCCACCGACTGTTCCCTCCAAGCTGGCTCCTTCCATCACCTCCCAATGACACTGGCCCAAGGCTGACAAGAGGACCAGTACCCCATGGAGCAGCCCACGCTCCCAGCATGCACTGCTAGCCCAGGGGTAACACTGTACATGGGAGATGTTAGCATGTCCAAGCCAACGTCCATCCCTTCTGGAACCAGGCACAGCTGGATTCGGGGACCCACAGAACCTGGCACTAGCCCCAAGGATACAATTAGAGCGGCCCATAAATGGAGCTCTCTGGGGGCCTGTCTACACTGCCGCTGGAGATGTAATTCATGAGCAGCTGTACACACCAGTGCAGGAACCTCTACCCGAGCGAGGAATCTCCCCTCCATCTGCAGGGTAGGTGACAAAGTGGGAATTCTCTGTAATATTTTGAATGAAGCCCATGCGTGCTTCAGTTTCCCCCATATTTCATATTGTTACCCGGGGGCGGGGGAAGGACTGTTTGCTCTCAGGACAGGCTAAGAGACCTGGTCTATGCTACAAGGTTAGGTTGAAGTAGGCCGCCTTGCATCGACCTAGCTGTGCATGTGTCCAGGCTTCGTTCCAGCGTGGCTGGGCTCTGGCTGACCAGAACGGTTGATGCTTTAACCTTCATTTTTTTCTGCTGACCTACGGCCACCCCATGCTGCGTAACAGGTGACTAATAAACCTGCCTGGTTTGCCAACCCTGCGTGTGTCACTGCAAACACTGGCAGAGGTGCATTAGTCCCTGAAGAGTGGCCTAGTCTCTCCCAGGAGTCCAGTTCAGCTGGACTTGCCAGGCAAAGCTCATGGTGTGAAACATGAGTGCTGGAGCCCCAGAGGTTCGCCGGAAGGAGGCAGTGAGGCCTACCCCAGGCAGTAAGATTGAGACCCCTTGGGGGTTGGACAAACTGAAGGGTTCCTCCTAGAGACTGTTCCAAAACTGGGGGCGTAGCACCGATGCTGTCGATCCGTGACAGCGGAGACGTTCCCTGCGACTCCCGTGGCATGGTCAGAGCACACGGGAGCCAGCTATCCTGGGCACAAGCCTTGTATCGCCCCATTTCAACCGCACCCGCAGGCCAGCCCCTGTCTGGAACATGCCCTGCCTATTGACTGCACAGGGAGGCAGCACCCCAACCATACCCTGCGTAGCACTGCACTCACCGTAACCGGGCAGTATGGAGCAAGGACAGACCCACCTAGCAAGGGAGCAGGGGTGGAAGGCCGCCCCAGTGGGTAGCGTGCTCACCCGGGCCATGGGTTCCAGTCCCTGCTCTGACACAGGAAACTGACAGCAATAGCTATTGGGGAATGGCTCCCCGCAGTCGCTCTGCTTTGGAAACGCAACAATGACCCAGAATCGAGTGACGTTTGCTCCAGAACAGAGCGCCCTGGGGGTGGGGGCCACTATTCTGCAATAGCGCCAGCCATCAGCATCCCCATGTAGACAAGCCCATAGTCACTGAGCCTCAGCGCCCCTCTATCACCGGGGTCACAGCCCTGCCCTGCCGCAGTGGGGCAGGCACACACAGATGAACGTACTAACCCCCGTGGGGTGCGCGGACGCGACAGGGACGGGGCGGAGGCAGGCCCCATGGTGCTGCAGCCCTGTGCCGCGCTCAGGTCCAGAGCGGGACACGTGCCCCACCGCAAAGACTTGACTTGGGTTCTCGTTGTGTTGTTCCCAGTGCCCCCAAGCTCAAGGGGCCCCAGCCGCCCCAGGAGGAGAGGGGGCATCACAGCTCTGATTACAGTGGGTTACAGTGTGGTTCAGTGGCTCTCAGCCCCCCCCACTATACAAATTGTTCCAGAGTCTCTGACGCAGGGCAGCTCAGGTGGAGGCCCTGGGAGGGGGCCTGACTCCCAGCCCCTCAGTTTTAGAGATGGGGGGAGGGCGATCTCCCCCCCTGAGCCAAGCTCCGTTACCCCAATGCCCAGCCCGCCCCACGGGCACGGGGGGACCCCCTGCCTGGGATGTGCAGGAGCCCAGATGTGCCCCAGCCCCACAGCTTCGGGAAGGGCGGGCAGTGGGTCACTCCGCTCCAGGGGGGCTCAGAGGAGGGACCAGCGACCCCCCGAGCCCGGACGAGCCGGAAGTGGCGGCAGCAGCACGTGGAGCCAGGCCCTGCCAGGCTGCTCATCACACCCTCCGCCCGGGGGGTGGGACCCGGCCCCGAACCCGCCCGGGTCCCGCCGCCGCCGGCAGAGGGGCAGGGCTGGGGGCGCCCCGGCCGCGGCTCCTACCTGCGCTGGGCTCCGGCTGCTGGTCCCGGCTGGGTTGTGGGGAGACGGGAGTCCGGGACTTCCTCTTCCCCTGGGCGGGCTGCTCCCGGGCCGGGTCAGACCCACCCCCGGGAACTCCCCCACTGCCAGCTGCAGCGAGCTCCACACCCCTCCCTCGCTTCCTGCCCCATCGCGCCCCAGCCAAGGGGGAGGGGGCACTGTGCGGGGAGCTGCCCCCCCCGCACCTGGACCTCCTCCATCCGGACCCCCCCGCCTAGCTCCACCCCGCAGAACCTCCCCCCCCCTGCACCTGGACCTCCTCCATCCGGACCCCCCCGCCTAGCTCCACCCCGCAGAACCTCCCCCCCCCTGCACCT